TTTTACTTCACTACATTCATTTGACAGGTGTAGTTATACTTTACAGCTTATGATTTTACATAAGAAATATAGGATAGAATAGAGGCTTATAAAAATACAACACGTTATCCAACCAGTGGTCCCAAACCTTTCTGGCTTGTGACCAGTTACAAAAAGGCTGTGTCTAGTTGGGGCGCCATGTCATGTATCAGATGTCAGTTTCACCAAAGAGACATGTCCCCTCTAATCTTCTCTGATGGTTTCATTTACAAGGAGCTTTCATTTTTTGGTTGATTCTGGTGGTCCCTGTGGACAAAGGGTGTAGTGTTTCTACTGCCTCATTTCATTGATTTCAAGTGGAATCCAACCAACTCTAGCAGGCACTAAGATTGACCATTTAGAAATACCAATGGTCTCACTGATTGGCTTGTTTGTTTATGTGGATTCATATAGAGGCATCAGTATTGAACTGCAAAAAATTTATAAAAAACTCCTTTGAGTACAATTAGTACCTGTTTCAGGCCCAGATAGGTCAAATGATCCAATATTTCATAAAAAGGCAAAGATCCAAAAAAGTTCAAAAATGTAATTTGTGTCACAGTGTTGTTCCTTCTTTCCTCTCCCATTAATCATCTCACGTCCATTCAGATTTTCCTTGTGACATTTAAGAGGGGCCCAGCCCCTAGGTTGAAAACCACTGGGCTTGAACACTCAAATATATAAAGTAGTTGTAGTAGTATAAAGTAGTGTAGCTCCATCTCCACCAGCTCCACCAATGCTACACACACACACACACCGTGTCATCAGTATAAATACTTATATGAATGAATAATAAAAAATGTCCTGTATATAAGTCACAGTCACATGTGTAGTAAGGATCTGAGTGCTTCTTCCTCCACTGATCAGTAATCAGGAATAATGTTTTGACAGGATATCTTACCTCTGCACTCATATCTGAGGTCTGAGAAGAGGACGTGTTCCTGAGAGAAGACAAACAGTCCCAGTCTGCCTCCAGCCAGGGTGTGGTCGTACACCGCCCCCGAGTCGGATAAAATCTCCCTGCCCTCATACACCACCACCCTGCAATGGGAACACAGCACATAACATCCTCACACACAGCATTGTTTTATTATAGATGCAGGGAAAACTTAAATCCAATGTTTTTTTAATTAAGATTATAGGTTTATATTCATGTTAAAATCAGTCCTGAAAAGTAACTAAGTACATTTACTCAAATACTGCATTTAAGTAGTTTAGTTCTGTTGTAACTGCTACTTATTTTTACTGCCACTTTGTACTTCTTCCCCACAATACTGTCATTTGTACTACATTTGGCTGAAAATTACTTTGCAGGTTAAGTTAAAGTAAACCCTAAAGTATAATATAATTTTATAAAATATGATGCATTGTGATGCAGTAAATTAAACCACTCAACAAAATTAGGATGCAATACTACTGTATTCCAAGCCAAATACGAGTACTTATAATTGTGTACTTGCTGATACTGAATACCGATATGAGTATGTGTTAATACCATTACAGTTCTAATAGGGACTTTGAAAACACGTTTTCTTTTGATCAGATGTTCCTCACTTTCCGTCTATGAAACGATGAAATGTTGCTAGTGTTGTTGTAAAAGTTGCTTAAAATATCTCCAAACTGCTGACATTGCTTCTCCTCCATCTACATGCTCAACTAATGAGAGGTTATGTAACATCACGCTGCTGTAAAGTGTTATTATGAATATAATTAGTACATGAGTACATGAGCACAGTCATCCCTAAATGAGATAGCGAGAATTAGCTAAATTGCTGTTTATATGTTGATACATCAGTAATAATAATCCAATATACATACACATATATAGAACAATATAACCATTTAGCATGTTTTTCCTTTTTTTGCATGTGTTTACTTTTTTGATAATGTAACATATTTTTAGAGTTTTGGTACTTTTACTTGGGGTGTGTCAAGTCTATTGGTTATTTATGTATGTTTCTTCCTGTTCCCTATTTTACAATTTATTCCTGAATAACACTGAGGACTTGACGTCAAATGGAGCTATATTTAAAGCAGTTACAACAGCTTTCATAGCAACTATCCAAAATATCAATGTGTGTCTGTCCTTCACCATCAAAGAGCAGGAGCTTCTTTTCAGCCTCACATTCAATAAACGTACAGTCATCCTACAATCATTCAGGGCCAAAAATGCATCACTTCAAAGATAGCTTTCTTTAAGAGTATTTCAATCATTTGAAACACTGGGCTCGGCACGTTTTGTTCTCTTTCCCCTCACATTTTCTCATCTTGAAAACCTCGCTATAGCAGTGATGTTGTTCTCTCCATCCGCACAAAGCACAAAAAACTCATTGCCCGGGGGTGGTTTTGAAAGTCCATTAGTGAGAAGTGCAACTAAGTAGAAGTAGTTGTGGCAGGTTGAGGAGAACCGGGTACAACAAAGAAAGTGAATTACACTGTTATAAAATAATTCTTGGAGATTGATGATATCCTCCAGTGTAAGAACATCTTAGGGTGAATATCTCTTTCACAGATGCCACTGAATGTGATTTTCAGAAATTGTAGAAGTTATTCAGCCGAATGTTGCTCCACTAATACCTACAGGAACTGAACTGGTACTGACTGAGCCCCAAATGTATGATTTATTTTGTGTTTCTGTCTTGTTTTACAGAGTTGCTAGTGGTTTTTAGGTATGCTTTAGTGTTTTAGAGTTTAGAATTTTCTTTTATTCAATTTTGAAAAACACTTGCAGAAACTAAAACCTGCTAAAAATTGGTGAATACCCAATAAGCATTGTGTCTTTTTTTGGTAAAAGCAGGCTGATTAATAGTTGATTTTGCTTCTGATTCAGCGGCTGCTTTAAAATTAGGAGAAAAGAAAATGCATTCATAACTTTCAAATAATAAAGGAAAATTATGTTTATGTGACGTGTAGTAAATAAGCTAAAACACTGGAATGGTCCTTTAAAAGCAAAGCCAATAACAAATGTTTTAACTGTTAATTAAAAAGTAAAGGTTACTGCTATTGTAGAGGTTGTTTTCACTTGGGAGGAGCTGTTGTTCCTCTGAGGAAGTCCAGAAATATTTGTTTTTCTAACTTTTAAAGTTGGGTGACTTCCATGATCATAACCCAGCTGTGGTTTATGACAGCTCGACATGAAAATATAAATTCAGGCTCGAAAGAGGAAAACAAGCCAAGAGACAAATGCTTTAACTCAATACTTCTACCGGTTCATATATCAGTTGTCTTGTTTGTGACTATCCTTGCCTATAGAAATAACTATTTAACAGAGCAATGTTTTCTAGATAATAGTGAGAAAACACAAGGGAAAACTCATTTCCTCACATATGCTGGATATTCTGGAGTCAATAAATCTAACAACTGTTAGATCATCCAGTGATAAAACTTAACATGGGAAAATGGGACTTTCAAAGGAGTAATGGCAATCTCTGTACCTAATGAACCCAGTCTTGGGTCTGTGGATAAGGTGCATGCGGTAGGCTGTGAAGTCCTTCCAGCCAATTTTATTGGGGTCATGCCACAATGTTCTGACCTGAAACAGACACACACACACACACACACACACAGATGTCAGAATGGACAAAAAAAATTATGCATTACTGTGCCAATCTAATAAAAGGTACTTTTAGGGAAGGTTTATCTGTTAACAATTTTGTATTATTTATGACAATTCACTAATTCATGCCTGTTGTCTGGTGTTTCCAGTGTGCCACAGAGCATTGCGTAGATATTCTCCTGGTCCTGTGGTCGAGTTGACCAGTTTGATCGAGACTCCCGCTGTGCCAAAAGCTTTGGAAGGCTTTTTCTCCCAGTAGGCCTGAGAAACCTGCTCTCATGAATGTGGAGGATAAAATAGAGTGAAGGTTAAGTTGATGTTTAGTAGTCTTTTCTACGCTTTCCCATTTTTTGCTGGTGAGGTTGTGTCAAACACACAAAAAGGGATATAAATTTAGATTCAAACCTCAAGTTAAAAGTAATGTAATTTGGGTTACATTTCCACTACCATTAGTGAAGCCAGTAGGCATTATCATCAATGCTAAGGTCAGCATTTAAACATCACCTGTTTCCACATGACGACATAGAAGCGTCGACTGGATTGGTAGGCGAACACAATGCCTGCGTAGTCGTCATCTCGGTTGGTATTCACATAAAATGTCACACTAAAGTCTACAGAGCTGAACTTGTCATATCCTGTTCAAACAAAGGGATATTCGTTTTGTAGACAAACAATTTTCATAATGCTTTTTATGCATATTCTTTTTTTTTTTAATAGTTAATCTCACCTAAAGCGATGCCAGGGTCCGAGTTCGCTGTCTGCAGCAGCTCAGTGCCTTGGCTGCGGATCACCCAGAGAGGGTCAGACTGCGTGGTGCCTTTAGGGTCCAACAAAACAACCTGAAACTTCCTGAAGTCTGTTGACCCAATATCCTGGTTCAGTGGACAGGGATCCAGCGCATCTGGAATACTGTCATTGTCAAAGTCGTCAAAGCATGCATCTCCGCTACCATCACCTGCGAGAGAGAGGAATAAGGAGAGAGAGAACAACCATGTGATTTCCTGCATTCATTTTTGCCAAGAAGGGGAAAAGAACAAAGAGAAGAGATAATGTGCAAATGTAATAAGACAGTCCTGTATGATGGTGGATAGATTAAAAAAAAACCTTTTATGTATGATTAATCACACTGCTGAGACCCATAAACTATTTATGTTGATGACCTGGACCAATGGAGACATACTGGACTGATAGTCACAAGATTTTACTGCATGACTGCAAAATCCATTTATCATAAATTGTACAAAATATCTTTCCCGCGTGACAGCAAATTAATCAGCATTTGTTCACATCTGTATCTGTATGATATTAGAGATATTCTCAGTCCTGCAGTTTGATTTTCAGTAGATTCTGATTGATTGTGGGTGAAACCTTTTTATTGGCCACCTAAAGCTTATAGAAAAGTGTAGAAACACTGACCATTAGAGTCCAGCTGGTCCCTGTTGGGCACCAGTCTGCAGTTGTCCCGGTCATCAGGGATACCGTCGTTGTCGTCGTCATGGTCGCAGGCGTCTCCCTTCCCGTCCTTGTCATGGTCAGCCTGGTTGCTATTAGCAATGTAAGGACAGTTGTCTAAAGAGTTTTGGTGGCCGTCCTCATCAATGTCCTCGTTGTTGTCGCACATGTCCCCCACCAGGTCACTGTCAGAGTCAAGCTGCAAACACACACAATGTATTTTATATGTGTAAATAGTGTTAAATCACAAGTCTCCATGCTGAGTTTTACGTTAACCAGCACACCCACTCCCTGCATAGCCTTCCAAGATTTTCTTTTCATGTAATAAAAAAAAACAAATGTCCATCTGTCCCTGATGGATTGCCACTAATAAATTGTTACCCTGTACCAGATGTTCTGTGAAGCAACACCACCACCATCAATGTTGTTTTTTCAGTATTTTTTTCAGTAGATAGTGTATGCTTTTAAGCATTTGTGTATTTCAAGGACCTGTAGTGGGTTGTGTAGAAGGGGACAGTTGTCACACTGGTCTCCAACTCCATCCATGTCTGTGTCCCTCTGGTCAGTGTTGTAAACTAAGGGACAGTTGTCACGGTCATTCAGAACCTCTGGAGAAAGAGAGACACAAACACAGATAAATTGTATTTCATGTGGCTTTTACTCTTTTATTACAGATAAAAACAATCAATATAAATCAGGACTTTGTTTGGGTAAATGTAATTCCATCCATATTTAAAGAGTACCTTAAGTCTTTTTTTCCATGTTTTTCCATCCACCACCCTACCAATTGATCCTGGTCCCTGTCTATAGTGTTCATTACAGAATTTATTTTCCTTTTTCCAGAGAAAATCCAGGAATCTGTGAAAAATCCTGAGACACTCCAATCCCAAATTACACAGCTGTGTCATGTTCACCTACCACCAAACACAGCAATCAACTGTCTCAACTGGGACATATGAGAGTAGTAGATACTACTACTGGTCGGAAGCAAGAAGTTTATAGTATTGAACGTGTTTTAGTGTTTGGGACAAATCTACAGACTCTCATTCGTATCCCATGTTCTTTCTCCTTCCACTGCCTCTGCTGAAGCTTTGCTAAGCTAACGTTAGCAGTTCAAACAGCTCTGAACCGCCATCTTGGCCTTCAGCAAAGTCAGAGACTCAGAGGGAACTAAAGTTACTGTCACTGCTTTCAATTTCAGCTGGCAAAAAAGACGCTACAGGTCGTGCGAGTGAAATGTGAGCAATTTCTGGTCTTGTGTCAAAGTCTGCTACCTCCTTGAATAGTGTTTCCCTCCCACTGAAACAGTGTTGACTGTTTGATATGGTTCTGTTGGCTACATCAGACTGTGACCTCTAGCACACACTGGGGCAGTTTGCAGCCGAGTGTGAAGTGGCTGGGATGAGAATCTGCGCCTCCAACTCTGAGGCCATGGTCCTCTGCCGGAAAACGGTGAATTGCTCCGGATTGGGACTGAGTTGCTGCCCCAAGTTTGGGCTTAGCCTTAGAGATAGCATTAGGAGTGTTTGCTCCTTCACATTGAAAAGAGCCAGTTAAGGTGGTTCAGGAATCTGAATAAGATGCCTCCTGGGAACTTTCCTTTGGAGATTTTCCTGGCAGGTCCAACTGGGAGGAGACCCAAGGGAAGATCCAGAACTCACTGAAGGGATTATATATCTCATCTGGCCTGGGAATGCCTTGAGAGGAGCTGGAAGGCATTGCTGGATAGAGGGACTTGGAGTGCCCTGCTTGTTCTGCTGCCACTGCGAGTTTAATCTTTTTTATCGATGCAATTAATGGATACATAAAACATATTTTTACTTGCATGTTCAAGGCCCTAGCTCCTACCATCTCCATCCATGTCAATGCTGCAGGCGTCTCCCTCTCCATTGTCATCAGTGTCTGTCTGCAGTGGGTTGCTATCAAATGGACAGTTATCACAGCGGTCCCCGACCCCATCTCTGTCAGAGTCAAACTGCCGAGGGTTGTACACCAGCGGGCAGTTGTCCTACGCCAAACACACACATTTGTGCATACATACACACACGCAATATGTGAATATTCAATTGTTTTCAGTCAGGGTAATCTCAAAGTTACTCAAAGTTTGAGTCACAGTCTCACCCTCTCATCTAGGATGTCATCATTGTCGTCATCAGGATCACAGGCGTCTCCCTGTCCGTCCTTGTCCAGGTCTTCCTGTCCAGAGTTTGGTATCCTGGGGCAATTGTCCTGCAGCCAATCACAACTCAGATTAGAGAAATTACATCCAAAGAACACCACCAGCCAATCAGATAACATTTTTATTCTCTTTTTTTATTATTATTTTACCTTCTGACAGTGATAGGTTGCATTCAGCTTGCAGATTAATTTGTTGTTGGGCCAACCATCCAGATCAGCGTCTTCACCACACAGGAAGCCATCACCCGCAAACCCGACAGCACACACACACTTGTACAAAACCTCAGAGGCCAGGCCAAGGTACACACACTCAGCATACTTGTGGCAGGTGTGTGTGTTGTCTTTGCAAGGATTGTATGGTTCACACACCTAAAACCACAGCAAGCATAGGAAAATACAAAACTGATTCAAGATTGTAGTTCAAAGCTAGGAAAATAGTGAGGATTAGCGTTAGGGTAAGGGTCAAGTTCAGGGTTAGGCTTTGGGTTAGAAATTCAAAGAACAAAATACGTGCCTGCTTGGTTCTCTGGGCTTGCTGCAGTCCAAGGCCATATGGCTGAGTGCCTTTATAGCGAGGAGGACAGGGCAGACAGTAGTAACCAGGGTCTGTGTTTACACATTCTGTGACACACACACCCTCCACTTCACACTGCAAAGATAGAGGGATTAACCATGTTCAGCATATCAAACACTAACTGCAAAGTACAAAGGTTTGACCAGAGGGGCTCTCTGCCAGGATCAGACTACACAACATTTACTTCATTTGAGATGGTCACTAGACTAGATTAGGTGATCAGGTAGGATCAGAGAGAAACTTTTGGGATCTTTAAAGTGTACAAAGTGTTACAATGAATATCATAAACTTTGTCAAACTAGGCCAAAGAGAGGAAGTCTGCAGCTATGCTAGCTGCTGTGTGTTGAGCTAAATGCCAACATAAACTTGCTGCCATGCTTAAAATGACAATGCTAACATGGTGATGTTTAGTAGGTTTACAAGATGTTTACCGACTTAGTTTAGTGTGTTTACATGCTAATATTTGCTAATTACTGTTGAACACAAAGTACGGCTGAGGCTGATGGGAATGTCATTAGGTATTTATATATTGGCGACATTAACCCATTAACCTGCTGGTGTCATGTAGTCTGATCCTTCACCTGCCCTTATTACCTCATTCTCATCCTCACAGTGAGTGCCATTGCCACTTAAACCCAATGGACAGTGTCCACATTCCCATGATCCATCGATATGTGATGTGCACTCCACTCCAGGAAAACATGGATTTGACAGCAAACATATATCTGAAAAAACATACAAATGTGCACATAGAAAGGCAATGAGTCTTTTATACACAATCCAAATAATCCAAGATTGGCTTAATGGCACCTAAATTTGAATCATTATGTTATTATATGTCCTGAGCCAAAATAATTGAATAAAGGCAGAATAAATGCTGTAGGATATTATTTTTTAATCTCTATTGTTTGAAAATATGTTTCATCCAATAAAGAAATAATAATGTTTATCCATGGATGTCAGGTTTAGCCTGTTTATAGAGTAATATCTGTTTACATAGCCTGAGGTTTGTGGTCAGGGTTAATGTTTACCTATAGGACATGGTTGTTTGTTGCAGGCTTCATAGTCCACAGCATCTCCAACACAAGGCTTCCCACCATGTTGAGGAGCAGGGTTCAAACACTCCCGTTGGCGAATTGTAAGACCTCCCCCACACGACTCTGAGCAGAGTGACCACTCAGTCCAGCCTGTCCAGCCTCCGGCAACTACACACAAGCATATCATTTACTTGTATGCCAGTAGAGTACAACAGTGCAGTCTGTATGTGCATTTTTTTACTCACTGGGGCAGAGTGTATTGTTGCATGGTTGCGTCTCCCTGTTGCTGCCCGTGCAGCCTTTGCCCCCCTTCTGTGGTGGGGGGTTGTTGCAGAGACGTACTCTTGTGATGTTGCCTTCACCACAAGTGGTCGTACATGCAGACCAAGGAGACCAAAGGCCCCAGTTCCCATCAGCACGTACTACACATGAAATAAGAACATCAATATTGTAAAAAAGTCCAGGTTTTTTTGTACGGTAGTCTGGAAAAGCCTCTAAGTAGAATTCGACACAGACCACCACCGCAGCTCCACACTGTGTATACATTTACAGAACTACAACATGTTTCCAATTACGATTAAAATCTCTAAAATCCATTCGTCTGAAGTTCCGTACTTTTGGTCTTTCAGGAATATTCAGTTCATTCCCTTGGACCAGCCGTGCTCAATCAATCACAATAAATAAATTAAATCAAGACATTTGACAGATCAGACATGCAGAGTAATGTCCTACCCTTGCGGTCACACTTCATCGGCATGCAGCTGCGGGTTTGGACTGATGGGCCAGCACAGGACGGCGTGATGCCATTGCAGGATCGGCCCCTTTGCTGCCCTCCACGTCCACAGGTGACTGAACAGTCAGTCCACTCAGACCATGGGGACCAGCCATCTTCATTATCTTTATATACATACACACACATACACTGTTGGTACACCTTTATCAAATTTTGTGATCTCAGCGTACATCATAGTGACAGACAAAACAAACTCACTGAGACAGACAGGACAGCACTTTCCATCGATAAAGGATGGATTGATGCAGGATACAGGAGGGCAAGACACCTGTTGACACACCACCTTTCCATCCTACACAAGGTGAGAAAGATACAGACCAGTCTTTAAACATAAAGAATTTGAAACAATAATAATAGCCAAACCATGCTAGTTTGAGCCAGATGTTTTGCTAAATGCCAGCCCTTGCAGACGAATGGTATGCTGTCATGACTCATAATAAGTCTGACTACTCCCTCAATCCATCCCTGACAAAACTAATGATGTTTTATAAAGGGAAACAGACACAGAGAGGAGGATGAAGCATGCATAAAATATGGGAGACTAACAAATGCAGCTCTGGAAATAAACGAAACCATATTTAGTATCTCCACAACTGGACAAAACATTTTAAAGGAATAGTTTGGCATTTTAGCAAATATGCTTATTTGCTTTTTTGCCTAGAGTTAGATGAGGAGATCAACACCACTCTTCTGTCTAAAGCTACAGCCAGGAGACCGTTGACTTAGCACATAACCCTCTGTCAAACCACAACTTTTCATTTTTAGAACTTGTACATTTTTTTACAGATTAAACAAACTAGACATAACATGAGCTGTAGACGTGTTGGTAGACTGATTTTTTAACTTTTGGACGGAGCTATGCTACATTTTTATGCTAACCTAAGCTAAACGGACTCCTAGCTGTAGGTTCATATTTAACAGATATCAACCATATGCTATCGATCTTCTCATCCAACTGTCAGCAAGAAAGCATATACACGTATTTCCCCAAAATGTCTTTTTCAATTAACTATTTCTATAAGGTTAGGATATATGTAAGAGCCATTCTAGAGGATTCTTGTACTTTTTTGGATTATACCATGTCAAAACTTAATACTTAATGGTAAAGTCAGGTTTTTAGAGTCAAGTCTCAAGGAAGTCAAAGTCTTGCAGCAGTCAAATCCAAGTCCAGAGATGTATTTAAATAATAAAAGGAAATAACACAAGGAGACTTGACAGTGAGGACTTGAGACTTGACAGTGAGGACTTGAGACATGACTTGGACTTTCCCTAAAAACAGCTCTGGGCTGCATTCAAAATAGAATTAGAAGTGAAAGAAGATTTATGATCTAACCTAGATGAAGTCTATTTATGACAGGTCTTCCATTCAATCAGAGACTTGCATGGCACTCTCCCAGGAAACACCTCATTGCTAATATTTTAGATTGTAGTTATATAAGATTTGTTCAACGCTGACCTGGCAAGTACAGGAGGTGCAGCTGTCAACCTCCCAATCCTCCCCCTGCTCATACACTCGTCCATCCTGCACACACCAGATCTCCCCGTCTCTGTCTCTGTCAAGATCGTTGACATCACCGCCAAAGCCATCACCGTCTCCATAGTCACCGTCTCCATAGTCTTCACCATGGCCATGGCCATGGCCATTGTCATTGTCATTTCCATTTCCATTTCCATTTCCATTGCCGTTGCCATTGCCGTTGCCATGGCCGTTGCCATTGCCGTTAGCCATGCCATGCCATTGCATGACCGTCTGGCCAATGGGCCATTGCCGTGGCAACATGGCTATTGCCACTGCCTTTGCCGTGGCCAGTGGCTATAATTGCCACTTTGCCATTGCCGTGGCATGGCTATTGCCACTTGCCATTGGCCGTGGCCATGGGCTAATTGCACTTGCCATTGCCAGTTGGCCATTGCCCGTGGGCCATGCTATTGCCATTGCCCATTGCCATTGCCGTAGCCATTCCGTGGCCATGGCTATTGCTCATTTCCATTGCCGTGGCCATGCGGTGAGCATTTGCCGTGACCATTGCCAGTGGCCCATGTTCACTATTGCCATTGCCATTGCCATTGCCATTGCCGTGGCCATTTCCATTGCCGTGGCCACGGCCATTGCCTATGCCTCTGCCTCTGCCTTTGCCATTTCCATTGCCATGGCCACGGCGATTGCCACGGCCACCACTGTTGCTGCTGCCACTGTTGCTATTGCTGTTGCTCAGCTCAGCCAAAGATATGCGCATCTCTTCATTTTCTCTTGACTGAGAATACAAATACATTCAAAAAATTAAAATCATCACATAAAAAACTATATATTTGACCTATTTATATAGGGCCTATTGCCCTGCATTAGTATAAAAAGACCTGTTGAATTAGGCTAGAGCGATGGTTGTCATAGCCAACATTTTAACACTGATGGTATTCTTTCTGCTTGATTTTTCCCCAAAAATTACCAGGACATTTACCACAAACCACAGTGCTTGCCTGCCAGAAAAAAGGATGTCGCTACTTGTTCCATTTGCACTGAAAGAAGTGCTACTCTCTGTTGGGTTTGTCAAACAGATTTCCCATAAAGCTCTACCCCATCAATTGCAATATAAAGTTCTCTGTAATTGTCTCTGTTTGTTTATTAATCACAAAAAGTTAATTCCACAATGTTTTAATGAAAACACTTAATTGTTACACCTAATTCTTTTTTAAAGAAAAGAAAATGTTAAGTTAAATTTCTTCCCTCATTAATATCAAAATGTAGTATTAGAGAGTTAAACACAACAAACAAATGCCAACAGATGATGCATGTGCATTAATTTGTGTATCTTACTACTCTCTCCAGGTCTTCAAGCAGGTTGCTGGTCACAATCCGCAGGCCTTGGATCTCAGTGAGCAAGCCCACCAGCTCCTCACATGGATGACGACAGATTTCTGACGACACATTTTCGACCTTTGCACCACCCACACCTGTAAAGGTGACAAGTATGTGGGGGTCTGTGTTACATTTTATACTTCAGACTGTGTTAATGATGAAGAAAAAAGAGATGAAGAAACTGTATGTATTTGAATGCAGGTATATATGTGTCTGCGAGTAAATGTGAGTGCTGTGTGGTACCTGCACACACAGCTGCTGCATAGAGGAAGATCAAAAGCCAGGGGAAGCCTCTCAGCGGACTCATTCCTGTTCACACATAAATCACATATGCAGTCACCATGAAATATAACAACTATACTGCTACACCACCGCACAATACAAGCAGGACTGCTGCAGAGGAGATAAAGGAAGAAGAAGAAGATGAAGAGGGAATTAACCTTGCATACCTGCGTCCTCCTCTCTGGTCTGCCTTCCCTCCAAGATTAGAAATCACGGCCGGTAGGCTCGTCCCAGGCTGCAGCTCCACGGGGGCTGTGATGGAATGTCTGTCTCCTTCCTTATTTCCTTGTCTCCTTGTTTCCTTCACACCTTGGCATCCGGATCGACACAGCTTACTCAGTAATTTGTTGCTGAGGCATCCAAAAGAAATAGATGTTGGTGCGAGTGAAATCTGAGTGAAGAACATGCAGACAGCTCTGTTATTTCTGTAGAAAGTTCTAATGTGGTTATGTATTTGTTTGAGTGTGTGGGTGGGTGTGTGTGTGTGTGTGTGTGTGTGTGTGAGGCAGGAGCGGGGGCCATATATTACCCGTCTGTCTGGCGATGAACTGGGCTGCATATCTCCCAGCGAGAAACCCAGCTGGATGGAAGGAACTCTGTATGTGTGTGTGTGTGCGACTGTGAGTGTGAGTGTGTGTGTTGACGTCTCGATGCAGGTTTCCCAGACACATCATTTACACTCTTCACTCTCCAAACTGAGACTCACATGAAAATATGCACTCACACATTGAAACACACGCACTTATTGGCTAACTCGAGTTTTCCAATATTTTAGGAGCGAGAAAACTGGCATCACTTTAAATCCCTGGTGAAAACGAGAGGCTTGATGTGTGTGCTTGTGTATATGTGTGTGCATTTATTCAGATTTGTCTTCATGTCTGCAGAGGAGAGGTAAAGACGAGCAAGCTGGTGGAATACAAAAACATCCACTTCCATTGGGACCATCATCTCTTTCCTTTCTCTCTCTTTCCCTCCATCACTTTTCTCTCTCTCTCTGTCTCTCTCTCTCTCTGTTTGGTCTTCTCCCTGCTGAGTCAAAGAGGCATCATCGTCCTGAATCATATTTTCCATCTGTAGACTCCACTTGTAGAATAATGAATCTCACAGATGTGTGCACACATGTATGCACACACATGCAAGCGCCTGTGCCCATACAAAAACACTAACACACAATTCCAACAAATGCTCTATTTCCAGATACCTGGAAACATCACAACAGAAGAACAAATAGGGACAGCCACCATGTTTCTTCCTGGAAATGGTTCAACGGCGGAGGCAGTGAAAGCAGGTGCTGTCACTGCTCCTACAGGCAGAAAAATCCCAAACGTAATAAGATCTGAGGGGGATATAAAAGGTGAAGACTTGGGTGAGATTACTTGGAAAAGTCCAGTGTGACACTCTTGGACTGATACGCTGTGTGGAAGGCACATTTTGTTCTGGGATCTCTCTCAAAGTCTACAACTTTGTCTGTCTTCCAGAGAGAAAATAGTTTTAAAGAGGGCACTCTGCTCGCTGTCTTAGAAAGGTGAAGCTGACTGAAGGTTGCAGGGCTATCAAGGGCAGCGGACAGATCTGCAAAAGCAACAGGAAGGCCGCTGGTGAGATGGAGGCAGGGTTGAGAAACAGGGCACTTTATGCAATCAGGCAGCTTGAGAAAAGGGCTGAGTTGGAGCTGCGGCAATTGCCCCATTTCTCTAAAGGTAAAAGAACTCAAAGGGCTGTTGCATCCTGCTCTAAGCCCTCACTGTGAGCAGCAACCTTACCAGCTAGACAGGCCAGACAATATCCTGCAATTGCCGGTCCCCATTTTAAGCATGTAGTGGTCAGAGAATTACATGGGATTAAAGTAAAAGGATTTACATGGAAGGGTGTAGTAACGCAAGATTGGAGAAGGTCAGGGACAAAGATGTCATAAGTTAGCAAAGGTAGACATGGGAACTGGTGATTTATTTATTTATGGTACCTTTCAGTGCAGAGATAAATAAATGCTACCATGAATTTCATATATATATATATATAGATAGATAACTAGATAGATAGATAGATAGATGCTGACTCACTAAATGCATTTTGCATTGTTTATCACAATAACAGCCACTGTGGGTCAGTAGAACAGGAGAGGGACATTAATCCAGTTATCAGATCATCCTATTATTCTGCAGATTAGCTCGCAGCAAGCAGGCCTTCTGGGATTTGTAGTCCAGAATGATGCACTCCTGGTTTCCTACTAGTCCACCATCCACCCACTACCCATAGATGAAAGCCTTCACATATCAAAGCCTTCTCTCATTAGGCTCAGTGGTGCTGAAATCAAAGCCTGGCCATACAGTAATGGCCCATCTCTAGCAACCTCTGGGCTAGTCATTTTTTCCCGACCCCTGTCGTGCGTCACGGCGGGTGCACGAACCCAATCACTCCTCCTTGTGCGCACGGCACCCGGTGGCTATCTGTGAGGTGTGAAGTGAGAGGTGACGCAGCGCCTGACATTGCAGGTCAGAGCGGAACCGGCCCTCTGCGCTCAGGGCTTTGCACAGCTCAATTAGCGTGACACACTTTCCCCCTGTGATCGCCTGCCTTCCGCCCGGTTTGCTGGACACAGCGGATTATGCCCACTAACTTCGACAGCGCACTTCCAAAGAGGCACAGCATTCATTAGATAAAAAGGAACCGGTTCCTTTCCATTTTTTTTTTTTTTTTACGCGCGCGTACAGCAGAAAGTGACCTGTGTATCAGTGGGAAATGACAGCGGATGGGGATATGGCTGGGTTCGTCCCTCAGAAGGAGATTGTGTATAACGGTTTGTTGCCTTACTCGGACCGGTTGGACCGGGAGGCCACGGAGCTGTTGGCGGAGATCAAAGCGAACCTGTCCAGAGCTGTCCTTCTCAGAGAGCTATGGCCCGGGGTCGCTTTCTGGTGCAAGAAACTGTTCTCGTAAGTGTTGAAGCAAGAAGACCCACACAGAGTCACTTATGATTCTTGATAATGATCTATATAGCAGCTCATTTAGGCTTCAAAGCAAAACACAACCCACAGCCTCACAAGTTGTCACAGAGATGCATAAATACTTTTCTAGTTTAATAAATGTTTAATAATATATGTCACAGGGGTATTATATTGAATTTCATTGGGCAGCGTGTCAGCATTTCCTTACACATTCAATAATCAATGTTAACTTTGAAACCCGAAATATTCAGTATTAGGTCCTCAAGAGTGTATTGCACTTAAACAAATGGGGGATAAGGTACCAAATATCAGTCATATGAGTGGTGAAAGAGGAGACTTCCTGGTGTTACTGATCTTCATCAGGGCATCATGTTCTGCACTTTAAATAAAGCCGGGACTTTTAATTCACTTTGTCCACTTGGCATAAACTCAGATTTCCCTGAAGCTGTGTATTTACTGTGTGTAAGGATATGGGTCAGTTGCAGGAGGCGGAAGTGATCAGCTCACCTTTCTCTGCCCTCACCCCTCCCCCTCCCCCTCTCCCAAACCTCCAACCCTCAGGTTTCTGAAGCTGTACGGCCGGAGGTTCAGTAAAGAGGACCATATTCTCTTCATCAAGCTGCTCTATGAGTTGGTCACGCTCCCAGACCTGGAGCCTCACATGATGCAGAGCTACGCCAGGCTGCTCATTCAGCTTCTCAAGTGGGTGTGACACAAACACACAGGGCATACACAAAAAATGCATAAGAGATGTCCGAACTCCTCACCCCTTAGGGACAGTGTGAGGAGCTCAGACGTCTGGATGGAGCTCGGAGAACCACAGCTCGTCTCTTTCGCATGAATAAAAGAAGTCAGTTGAGGTGCTTCAAGCTCCCGATGAGGATGTCTCTCTGTAGCCCCCGGGGCAGACCCAGAACATGAGGGATTACATATCCCATCTGGCCTGGAATACCTTGGGATCCCCCAGGATTAGCAAAGGGGGGGTGTAGCTGGAGGGAAGTATATTAAGGTAGCCTGATATACTATGAAGTACAGCACAGTAGAAGAACTGCATGAAAAATAAAACACTGACTCCCCAACATTAGTCTCTCTTGTCCTTTAGTATCCTCTAGTATAATGAGATCAGAGACCAGGCCGATTGGTAAACACTAGAAGTGGTATACTGATGTCAAGACAAATGACGTGTTGAAGTGGATTTTCCACTTACCTGTATGCCATTTGGATCGCTGCCATTTTGGAGCTTTAGACTACTTGCAGACTTGAAAAGGGAATTTAGAAAGTACTCAGAGTACTCGCCTAGAGTCTTCTGACCTGTGGCCCTTTGCTGCCTGTCATCCCCTCTCTCTCTCCCCCTTTCCTGTCTATCTTCAGTTGTCCTGTCAATTATACAGGACACAACACAAAACATGTGCCAGCAAGGCACATACAAAAAAACTTGGAAAGTAAAGACATAGATAACGAAATATGTACAATTAAGACCTGCAATACCACATCACACTGAATACAAATACAATTTCCAATCAGATAAAATATACAATATCTCTAATCCAGAGATTATGTGAGGGAGGGATCGTTGATGTCCAGGTGTCAGTGTTATATGTCTGGCTAACAGGGTTGTAAAGGCTTTACTGTGACATCCTTTTGGCACTTGTGGAGGGAAGGTAATGAAGGCGTAACCCTAATGTGGTTATGTATTTGTAACAACCTCAGACAGGGTAACAAAAATTTCCATCCAATATTTAGATTGATAGATATTCATGCTATATTTCTAAGAAAAGGCACACAAGGGCAACACTGGAGTATTGAGAGATCTTTAGTTTTACATAGACTACAATATTATATATTTTCAGTGTAGATAGAGTGAAAATCAAATGGCAGTTCAGTCATACAATGTAACTTATATGTATGTTTTTTGGAGTGGTTATAAAAAATGTGACAATCATATGAAAAAAAAAAGTCAGAGTTAGTTGACCAGTGGCAGAAGAAGATTTTTTGCTAAAGGTAGTACAACAAAAATTCTCCATTACAGGTAAAAGCTCTTCATTCAGAATCCTGCTAATAGTACAGAACAGAGGTATTATCATCATAAAACTGCTGTTTCAAAAGTAAAAGTAGTCAGTCTGCTCTGAAAAATGGCCCCTGTGAGTGAGATAATAGGTGTTAATACTTTCACTTAGTTTGGTAGTTTAGTCCCGTGTTGCCAACATAGGAGTCAAGCCCCCTCAAAGGGTCACAAAGTAAATCTGGGGGGGGTCATTAGATGATTAATGTGGTATAAAAAGTTTTTCTACACAAAGTTGCATTGTTTTTTTTGTCCTTTCCTCTAATATTTGCTTTTCTTAAGAAATATTTAAAAAGTTGACCACTTATGGTTTAAACAGTTATTTAAATGAAATAATCTTAGAAGTTTAGAAGGGAAATCTCACCTTTTGGTTTCTCTCTGAAATGTAGTCGAGTAAAGATTTAAAGTAGCAGAAAATGGACACAGCACAGTAAGTAGAGTTTTTGAGTAAATGTACTTAGTTACACACACAATCATAGTAAGTAAAAACGACAGTAAAGTATGTTGGCCTAACAGTACATTTATTACTTTTTAAGCCCTGACCTATATCGTAACTCCCTGCTTTTGTCTCTCAGATCAGCGACTGCAGGATATTCTCCAAGACGGTCACATTCATCACTTCTCATTTGTCTCCAGTTGTTTCCATGATTTTCACATCCATCACAAAACAACACCTTAATGTAGATGTCATTTGTCTGAATGTTTTCCATTAGATGAAAAGAGAAAGATCTGGGCTAACCGTATATTAAGTGCCGGGTCTCACAGCTGAGAGATGAATTTGATACTCAACATCACGCATCGGGTCTCAATAGGATTCTTTTTTTTTTCTTCCCTCGCATTTCACCGTCATTTCCCTGATTGTCTCTTCTTTCCTTCATTTTTCAAACCTCCCCAATGAGAGTCTGTTCCATAGCTGTTAGATGAATGAGAGAGGAGGAGACAAGAGGAATCTGAGGCTGTGGAAATTGCGCATATTCTTCACTCTTGATTTTTCTGTGGGGCTTATTCCCATAAAAAGTGTGATTTTTACAAAGAACTAAGTAATACAATACAAAGAAAGCAATGTCAAAGTCTCTCAGGAGGATTAAAAAAAGCTGCTGCCTTTACAGCTTATTTAGTCCTCATCGGTGGCACACTGGCTGGTTACCGTGCAATTTAAAAGCTTAACAGGATGTTTGATAAATCAAGAATCATAGTAAAAGGTAACTTCACAGCTTGCACATAGCTAGTTGTGTCTCCTTTCATATCTTAAACCTTCAAAATTTCTCTCTCCGCAGTTCCTCAAAGGGAGGCTGTATTGTGAGCATTTTATACCAGCTGAGTCTATAGCTGCAAAATATGTCTGCAGCCATCAGTCCAGTTATGCTTTATTGAATACAAAGAATCTCGGTTTTATGTTTGCACACATGTCCGGAAGTTGTCATCATCATGTTAAGTTCAGCCTGTGAGGTAGTGACTAATTTTCCACAATTACAGACTCTTTCAGACACCCTGTAGTTTCTCACTTCAATATAACATTATTACCATCATTTAGTCTTGACTGGGTACCTTGACTGAAGTCCTGCAAAATCCTCATAAAGAGGAAAGGCGATAATTTTCTTTCTTTTTTTCTTTCAAACAGGAAGAAGGAACTACTATCAAGGGATGACCTACAGTTGCCATGGCGACCACTCTATGATCTGTACGAAAGGGTCGTCTACTCCAAAACTGAGCACCTTGGACTCATCTGGTTCCCCAAGTATGACATTTTACCTTTATATTGACCTGTTGCAAAAGGTTGGAGCACTGAATTGCCTTATTGTATATGCATTTCCTTTAAATTTAACTGGTTTTATACCACATTATTCTATTTTTAAGGTTACGGCATACCCAAACGTTATGCTAAATATATATCTGCATTAAGGGAAGGGTCTGACATTTTGGGAAATATGCTTATTTGCCTAGAGTTAAATGAGGAAATTAATACCACTCTCCTGTATGTATGCTAAATATGAAGCCACAGTCAGCAGCCAGCTAACTTAGCTTACTTAGCATAAAGACCAGAAACAGCCTGGCTCTGTCCAGAGGTGCTGGTAGACTGATTAAGTTATTTTTTGACGGAACCAGCTGTTTCTCGCTCATCAGCCAACTACTGGCTGTAGCTTCATATTTACCGTACAGACATGAGAGTGGTACCAATATTCACATCTAACTCCCTGCAAGAAAGCAAACTGGGGGATTAGTAAATTCATATAGTTCTGTTACATTTCTATTCAAAACGATAAGCCCAAAAGTTAACCTCTTTCCTAAAGAATTTAGAAAGTGAAATAAATAATTAATGGTTAGGAATGATCAATTATTGATGTCAAACAGTATATGGTTTCTCTGATTTAAATTGCTGTAAACCTATTATCTTTGGACTGTTGGTTAGACAAAACAAAATATTTTAAGATGTCACCTTGGGCTCGGGGAACTCTTTATGTGCGCTATTTTCTGACATTTTATTGACTAAAAGACTAATTGAAAAAATAACCAACAGATTGGCTGATTGTGAAAATAACTTTTAGTTGCAGCATGAATGTTGATGGCTTTTTAAACTTCGGTGAGGACATGCGGATCTCACAAGATAGTAAAAGCAAAGCTCCTCCACAAACAAACACTCACACACCTCCTCTCTCCGCTTGTTTGCAGCTCAGTGGACCACATTTTGAAGGCTTTGATCAAAAGCTGCAGACTGTAAGTCCTCATCCTCTGTGATCATGTAATTTGTTCGGCGGATAATGTATTGCTTTGATCTTCAGTTGAGCTGTGTACTGTAGATCAATGTGTCTATGTGTATCTCCAGTCTGTCTTTGCTTGTCTGCATCTATTTGCACTCACGTCTGTCCTTGCTTGCGTGTGTGGTTGTGTGTGTTCTTGTGAATTTCCCAGGTATTTCCCTGCATCGTCCACCAAGGAGATGCTGGATGAGTGGCGCCCCCTGCTGTGCGTGTTTGACGTGGTTATGCAGAAGGCCATCAGCAACATGGAGCTTTTCCTGCCCACCATCATGCCCCCGGAGGAACACAGCCAGGCCTTCCAGTAAGTGGGCCAACTTGAATGGCTCTGTTTCAAAACCGGATTATACGCCAAGTGCAGCTTGACTCGGCCAGAGCTAACACAAAGGGTTTATAAAGTTTTAGCAAAAGCACCCCTTTGTTTATTTATAGAACAATCTCTGCCAGCAGAAAAAGGTGGAATATGTTGCATTTTTTTGACCATTTTTGATCCTGTGATGGAAACCTAAATTTGTGTGAATCCTGTGGTCGATAAAAGTGCATGTCATGTATGACCAAAGTATGACCAAATTTTCAGCCCCTGTGCACCCGGGAGTTTCAATAAATAATGTCCTTCTTCTTGGGTTACCAGTGCTTACCGTCTCCTTGTTTTGCTAATATTTTGCTTCATTGGAAAGCCTTTGCCCCTTTCTCTCCGCACCCTTCATGGTTGTGTTCCAGCTACCAAGCCTCTTCACTGTGTTCATTGCATTCTTCACTGTGTTCACTCTTTCACAAGCTATTTGTCTGGATTTAGTCTTGGATTCATCAGCGGTTTCCGCGCAGTTTCCACAATACATCATCTTCAATACTCTATTTTTCCGATTCACTTTTTCTCTCTCTCCTTCAGAATCTACAAGGGAGGGAGTGGAGTTTATATTTTGGGGAATTGGAGATAGTTGAGGGGAATTCAGCTTCAGGTGTGTGTATGTTAGTGGGTGTCAATATAATGTTGTTTTTTTGTGTGTTTTCAGGTTGTGGTTCGATGAATTAATGAGTCTTTGGACGTCGGTGCAAAATCAGCCCAGCTGGGAAGGGGTGAGACACACACACACAAATGCACACACAATATTTCAGGTATTTTTTAATTATTTGACACCTACAAACTGTTCACTGGCTTGAAAGTTAAAATCTTCATGCCACAGCAACGATACTTAAAGCTGAAATGAATGTGAAAATTCCACCTCTCAGTTTTCCTTAATAAGTCTGCAACACCAAGCGGTGGATTTTTAAAAATATTTTTAAATGATTGAGCAATGAATCACGTAGCTTTCCAGTTTCCTAAAAATGGATTGAGTATTTTGGATTGACACACTTTCCTACATTTCCTGATGATGATGATTGAAATGTTGAAATGTTGTTAAAGTATTAGCTTTAAGTTTCCACTCGGCATGCAGATAAGATTTTCCATTTGTGCCTCCGCTCTGCTGTCATCCAGCCTCCTGGCCTTTTAACGGCCTGGCTGTGCACTCTTCCTCTCTTCTTGAACATCTTTTTTTTGCAAAGCAGCTATATTTAATTCTTGGAATGACAGCCTTCACTTCTGGGAATGTTCTTTGTACTCGCAGTGATTGTTTGTGTTATGTTGTCTCTTAGCACCTTGTGAACCTGTTTGCTCGCCTCGCCAACGATAACATCGGCTACGTGGACTGGACCCCGTATATTCCCACAGTGAGTCATTAACAGAATTATGTGGATATCAAAGGGTTTCTGTTAATGTATTCTATTTGGGACTGCTGGACCACGTGAGTGAGATGAAACTCTGCACTGTGTGTAGATCTTCACCAGGATCCTGCGCAGTCTGAACCTTCCAGTTGGGGTCAGTCAGATGGTGGCACCGCGGTATCTCACCAACTCCTATGACATTGGACACTTGGTGTTGTGGATCACAGCGCTTCTGGTACACACTCTGCTGACTTTTTTATCTTAATAACACATTAAAAAACACATCTATTTTTTATTGCAGCTACTTAATTATTTGTTGATTTACATTGCTGCAGGGTGGACCAGGAAACCCTGCACAGAAGGAGCTGACCTGCCTTTTCAACAGCATCGCCTCCTTCTACCATCCATCCAATCATGGTCGCTGGCAGGTAAGTCTCTCTCTCTCTCGCTCACACACACACACACACATGCACACACTCGGAGCGAGTTGTGAACACATTTTCAACTGCTTCCTGTCACACTCCTTGGATTTATAACCTGTCACTCAGGACTTGGCGGGCTCTCTCTGCACTAACAAGGCAATAATGAAATGCACGAGTGCCAGAGAAAAGAACGATATCACAGATCTGTTTACTGCAGACTGTCTGAATGTGTCTCTGGATGATAACGCTAATGTTGAATATGTGTGGGTGTGTGTGTGTGTTTGCCTGCAGTCTCGACTGATGCGGCTGCTTCAGCGTCTCCCAGCGAGCGTTGTGCGTCGCGTGCACCGGGAACGTCACGCTGCCCCCAGCTGGATCACGCTGGTTCCTGAGTGTCAGAAGTTGACTGATACAGACTTGCAGGCGTTCACCCGAAGCCTCATCGGGGCCACCCTGCTGGCCATGTTCAGGTACTGCATGTTGGTAGTTGTTTGCCATAATATTTAAATTACTTAAATGAAACTACAACCTGTCTATATGTGTGTAATCTTACATGGTTAGACCTGTGTTTAAACATTAGAGATCTGGAGAAATTGTAATATCCTTGGAATCCTATTACTATAAGGATTATAACACATGTACATGCATACATCCACACATACAATACATATTCCTACATTTATACAAGATACACTATACATGTGATGCATATCTGTACACATTCACTGGCATCATATAAGATAATTTCTGTTGGACAGTTGGATCACTAGAAATACAACAGAGTGAGTCAGCATTATTCAGTAAGTGATTTATTTATAGAGCGCTTTTAAAGCAAGATGTACAAAGTAGTAAAAAGATAAAATATAATTAGAGGACATAATAGGCCTTGAAAGCAAAAGCATAAAACAAATTAAGCAACACGTAAGACATCATAGTGGAAAAGTATTAGTGAAAAAGTAAATTTAGAATAATAGAATCAAACGAAAGAGAGCGAGAAGCCGAAATAATTTGATATTAGCTTTTAAGACAAGCTGTTCTGTAAAGATAGCTTGTAAGATGACATTTTAAAACAAACACAGTGTGGGAAGTCCGATAGATACTATTTCTACTCAGGCAGAAATATAGGTGTCATTGTGGGAGTAGTGTGAGTGTTCTGTTGCACAGTCAGAGCCAATCAGTGATCTTTATAACCCACAATTATTGACCGAAATCTCTAAGACATCTTTTGAGCCAGAAGTTCAGTTTAGAATAGATTCTGATGGCATATTTGGCTTCACACCTTCCAGTTATTAGTTTTATCTAAAAAATAATGTCCTTTTTCAGCTAAATATCACAGCTAGCAAAACTGTTTTGGTGATTGGCAGGGCTAAATTTGGCTGAAAAGTGAACGTTCTGGAGACATGTAGGTAACTTTTAACCATTATCTCAACAGCATTGAATCTATTTTAGTGTGTAGTTAGGAGGTGCTTGAAATGTAGGTAAAACAATGGTTATATGAAACCTAAACATCTGAATTACCTTAGTTTTTCAGCCAAATTTAACCCAGTTTTAAGTAGTTTTGACCTACAAGTCGTCATATCAGTGTTGGATTGCTGCCATGTAAACACGCCACAGGAATCAGTGCCAGTCAGTTTTCTAATAAGTCCATACCCTGCTGTGTCTCATGAGCGCAGTGACTGGCCTCAAGACGGAGGCCTCAGCAACAGCACGCCTAATCTGGACAAACACAGGTCATCTGTGATTATCTGTGTGTGTGTGTTGTTGACGACACTGTACTGTATGTTGTTCTGTGTTCATCTGCCCTCTTCTGGTGATGTGCAGTAAAACTGGCAGTACGGATGCAGCCTACGCTCTTCAGAACCTGGCTCTCCTCACACCAGAACTAGCCATACCACCTGTACTTGAGAAGTAAGTGTTTGTGTGAAATATCTGCCATGAAGCCTACTGTCAAAACCAATATTGACAGTGCAACCTGTAAAAACGTATTAATGGCTTTTGTAACTCCTATTATTATTCTTTGTTTTTCTGTGATTTGTAAACAAAAATAATTACAATAATTTGGGGGTTTTCTGGGATGTAAACAGGAAGTATAATGTCACCATGGAGCATTATATTTTGGCAGATTGGCACCATTATATGGATGCTAATTTAGCTATTAGCAGCTCCTGTTAGTCATGTATCCATGGATGTACAGACAACTGTCACTGGATTACTTTGATACTGAAGAACACTTAAAAAAGATTCCCAGGCAAGTTCTGCAGATATGAATGAGGAGCATCTCTTTCTAAGCAGATTTAGGTGTTTATGCACAATGGAAATATAGATAATGATATCCTCAGGAAGTCACATCTAAAAATATGTCTCATGCCTGTGTGTTCAGATTTGACAGAGTCGTAACTCTGAGAAGGAATTCGAATTTATCCACAAATTGCAGCAATCAGGTGCTAAGTTCTCTCCCATCATCTCATTTTGTTCTTAACCTCTTTGTACCTTGTATATAACAGGACCTATGCAGCGATGGAGACCCTGACGGAGCCGCATACCCTCACCGCCACTCTCAGCTGCATGATTGGCATGGCTCGCAGCCTGGTTTCCCCTAACAACCACTACCCAGAGGGCCGTGCGCACGTGCTTCCACTGCTCATGGGCTCTCTGCCAGGGGTGGACCCCAACGACTTCAGCAAGTGCATGGTGAGTAATGGATGTGTTGATTAGTAATGAAGAAGAATTGTTAGACAAGTAGACAATACAGCTCTTGCTGATTAAATTCCCTTCCAGCGTACTCTGGTCTATCCTATTAATAATTCCTGAAAGTGGAATGAATATCTCAGTTTGAAGAGCTCGCAATTACTGAGGCTCAGTCCTCAGTTTCTGCTTGAATTGTAAAATGGATTGGTTTTCTTTCTTGGTTTGCTCATTGTCTCCAGACTACATTAATCCATCACGCCAGAATGAATTAATACATTTGAAAAACTTATTCCAGCGACATCTGTTGGGTTATTTAACTTAGGCCTTGACCACGTCAGATGATGTAAATTGATCTGTTTCCCGCTGTGTCGCTCTGTCAAGATTACGTTCCAGTTCATCGCCACCTTCACCACTCTGGTGCCTTTAGTGGATTGTTCGTCTGCTCCTTCTCGACACAGTGATCTCACAGAGGTACACACGCATTCATTTAGTCACGAAAGAGGCAAAATGTTGTTACTTTGCCTTAATCATTTGAAAACCATCTCCCTTTTTTCTTGAAGGAATTGTTTGACATTTTTAAAGAGTTAGATTAATAAATTGATACCACTCTCATGTATGTGGTCTTTACAGTAGACTAAATATGCAGCCAGCTTTGCTTAGTACAAAACAAGTTGTGGACTGGTGATGCACAGTATGGCCAGGCTAGTTTGGTTTCCTTTTGCTTCCAGTCTTTATGCTAAGCTAAGCTAAACTAAAAGCCTTTTTATTTAGAGTAAAAACATTAGAGCGGTATTGATCTTCTTGTGTAACCCTCGAGCGAATGAGCATATTTCCCAAAATGTTGAACAATTCCTTTAATTATTTGGAAATAAAACCAGCCCACACACAGTAAAGACTCAAAATCTAATATTCTCATATATACAAATACACTAACCAGTCATTTCTGTTTCGCCTCCTCAGATTGAGAAAGATCTGTGTTTTGCTTCAGCTGAATTTGAAGACTTCGTTCTCCAGTTTCTGGACAGGTAGAGACAAATTAACAAGTCAAACTGTCACTTTGTTAAGCCTTGTTGTCAACGTCTGAGTATAAGTGTATCTCTTCCTGTTTGAAATGCACCGGTCTGCATCCACGTAAAACAGCCTCTTTCACCGTAACGATGTTGACATTTTCATTGCTGACAAGTGCATAAGTGTGTGCCTTGTGTGTATGTGTGTGTCTGTGCCCGTGCAGGTGTTTTGCTCTGATAGACAGCAGCACCCTGGAACAGACGCGTGATGAGATGGAAACGGATACCCAGACTCATCTCGAGAGCCTGGTGGAGTTGGGCCTGTCCTCTACTGTTAACACCATCCTAACACAATGCTCCACAGAAATATACAAGGTAGCACACACACACACAAACACACACACACACTCAGACACTCACCGGTACATCCTTGACTTAAAGGCAACGTCACTCTCTTTTAAGTACATTAATTCACTAATCCCAAACCCGAGCTAAACAGTTCTAATACAGATGACTAACCTTAAATGCCCTGAAACTTAATTTGCTCAATCAGCTTCTTACTATGAGTGCTACATGAATACAAAAATGTTTTGACAATCTATGTTTTCATTAGTGTATAATCACCTAAAAATAAGAATCAGTGTGTTTTTGTTACATTCGAATAAGCCATTTTTATCTACAGAGGAAGCAGCTCCTTTGTCCTCTCCTACTGAGTCTGCCCATTATGTTCTACAGTAGCCAAATGGCCAAACACTGGCTGTAGAAGTCATGTGCATTTTTGTGACTTTCAAAGCCCATGTTTTCTAGTAATCCTATGACTTTCAGTTAATACTACAACACTGGTCTCCTTTAAATAGAATAAATAAATAAACTAAAATATTCAGTTTTTTAATAATTAACTTGATGGTTGTTTATTTAATCATGAATATTTGATGTTATAAGAAATATAAAAGTTACCAATTACACCCACATTACAATTTATTTGGCTAAATTTGCTCCAAACAATTCACATTAATCCATTCAACCTAAATAGAAAAGTGAATTGTATTTAAAGATAGTTACAGTTAGAGCACAGTCCCCATGAAAGTACTTTGAATATAATCAGTGCTAGTCTTCATCATCTCGCAGTATAGTCTTCATATAACCCCTGATGAAATGTCAGACAATTACTAGAATGGAAAAACATGTTGGTTCCCAAAAATATGGCCTAATATTAATCAAATACATTAATCTAGTAATCTTGTGAATTTGTCTGTGGAAATTTTAAACCAAAAGAACAACCATAACCATTAAGTAGCACATACTGCGCATCTGATCTTTCCAAACTTTTGCCTTTGTTGTTAGGATTGGCGTTGCAGAAGGTGTATACTTATGCATACCTCCATATCTATTGAAGACTGTGTGTCTTGGGCAGAGATGAGTGGCTGCATTGCGGAAGCTGACTGCTAATGGTATTTATAGTGACTTATATCAGCTATCAGTTTTTTTGCCCTGTACTGCACATCTATACCAAACCTAGTTGTTTATATCCCCTTTGTGATAATGTGGTTTATTTTTATCTATTATTATTATGCAAGCTAAGGAATTTTTGAGTTAATGATGAATGACAAATGATATGAGGTGATAGAAAACAATGTTGTGTGTTCATTATTCCATCTCTGTTAACACCACGAGGTTTAATGTAGGCTAGGTTGGACATACTGTAGTATAACATCATATAAATTCATACATGCTATTTAGTATATTTTACGATACTTGCTTTATAATTATATTGGAGAAGAAGTCAGTAACTAATGACTGTAGGTCGGGTAGAATTTCATGCATGCTTCGGGCTTGTTTTGCTTCATAAGAGAGCAAACTGTGGTGGGTGTGTACCAATCGTGTGTAGCCAATGTGTCCAGACCTCGCATGTTAATTGTTGTTTTCCGTTTGTTTTGTTGGGTCCATTCACTGCTTCTTCCAAGCAGACATATGAATGCACCGTGGCTTTTAATTACCAGCAGCGCGTCATTGGTAGTGACATGCCTAAGTTAGGGATCAGATGTAGTTGTGTTATGTGTGTTAAGAGTAGGTACAAGTGTGGGTCTGTTTTTAATGACTATAGTGTTCGCCGTCCTGCAAGCCTCTTTTGGGAATCTAGCTTGAGCTTATTTATTGTACAATCTGTTTCGTTTTGCATGAAATGAAAACTTGCAGTTTCAATCCAAGTAAAGATATGTTCGCATTTCATGTGTTTTTAACACATTATCGAATTGTAGTATTATTAAATCCTCGCTCAGTAACAATTATGACGTAATCCTTTGCTATTAGAATTTGCAAGT